GCGCCATGGTGCTGCTGCCGTGCGGTGTCGGGCGTGTGCATGGTGCGTGCTGCCGTGCGGTGCGTGCGGTGTGCACTGTGCCTGGTGATGCGTGCTGCGCGCTATTGGCAGTGCATGCTGCAGTGCTGCCAGGCGGTGCCCACTGTTGTGTGGCCTGTTGTGCGGGCTGCTGCCTATGACTGCGCCACGGTGCCTTGCCGGATGGTGTGACCATAACAGAAGTTGATACTGTGACGTTCTTTTGTTCTAATTTCTGTTTCTGGCCTTATCCTGTATGCTTGGTATTCAGACTTGAGTAAGAATGGATAAAGTTGAGTTGTAAAAACAAAATTAATCCAAGCATGCTGTCATGTCTAAATGGATTTGGAAGGAGTATTAGTGGAGGAAGGTCCCGTCCAAATATTAGCAAATTTTTTCTATGTGGAAAAGTTATTTATCCACAAAAAATAAATGTTTTATAAATCCTATATAAATCTAAAAAAATATATAGATATCTCAGTCAATAAAATCAAAATTCTATTAATGGACTTTCCTTCTCTCAAAATCTGAAAAGCAAATAGGCCCTAAATGAGCTCCGGTACTCCTCCTCAGAGAATGCTTCCACGGGCTCCAATCTTTCTACATAAGCCAAAAGAGAAAGGGCCTACTGTTTATCACAGTGTTAACGGTTAAGAGAATTTCAGTTTGCTCGATGCCTGACAAGGCAAAAGATGGGAGGCAGTCTTATACCCAGCAGCTCATCATCTGTATATGAACGTTTCACGAATTTCATGAGTAAAAGAGTCTGATTGGCATGCATGAGGCCGGAGAACAGCTCAGAGAGGGGCCGGGGGCCAGGTTTCAGGCAACGATCGACTAAAATAATGCAACCCTTGAAGTTGAATGATCTTAAATGCTTTAGATTTTCTTAAAAAACACAACTGAGCTGGGTAGAGTGTCTAATGCCAATCATTTAGAAGGAATTAATTGTGATTAAGTAGTGAATTAAACAAACAATTAAAAGGAACGAGGGTGTGAGAAGAAGAGGCGTAAGACCGGTGAGCATTTGATTTATTCGGTTAAAAACCAAATTGAATAAATGGAAATAAAAAGATGAAAACTGAACCGAAACCAAATTACAAGAAAATCGAAATAATCGAAACCAAAATTTTCGGTTCGGTTTTCGGTTAAAAATCAAATTTAATTAATTAATTTATATATATATATAATATTATATATTATAACCTATAATATATATTATATATTATGAAATTCAATTTCATTATAATACACTATATATAATATATTAATATATAAATATATAGCATATTATATATTATATATTATATGTTATATATTGTATATTATATATTACATATTATATAATGAATTTCGTTAATTTGGTTTTTTAGATTAATCGAATTTCTAACTCTGAAAATCAAAACCAAAAACTGAAATTCCTAAAAACCAAATTAACTGAACCGAATTACCCAAAAATCGAAAAAACTGAAACCAAAATTTTTGGTTCAGTATTTCAGTTTTAACTGAATAATGTTCACCCCCAATAAGACTCACATTCAGGCATTGGGAGAA